ATAAAATTATAAATTCTAATATTTAATATTTAATAACTCTTAACTCTAAACTTAACTAACCTCTTTAACTAACTCTAACCACTAATTAACTCTCCTAACCACTAGCTAACCCTGACCCTAATCTCTAACTAACTCTAACCCTAATCTCTAGCTAACCCTGACCCTAATCTCTATTTAACTCTAACTTTTAATCAAGCTTTATATTCTTATCTGAAAAGTAAAGCATTTGGCCCATCAAACTTTAATTGGATATAGATTGTTTCTCAAATATGAAGATGTTTCAGTATATTTAGTGCATAATGATTCAAATCATATCTTAAAAACTTCATCAAATAACGTATTTTGGCAGGCTAAAAAATCAGCCTAAAATTCAGGATACTGGGAGCCAAGAGAACATGTTAACTGTTTTTTAATATTTTAAATAATATAGAAAACACAATGTAAATATCGTGTAGTCAGAAGGGTGGCCTCAATCACAGATCCTAATCCAGTATCGCAATCTGAAAAAATTGTTAATAGAGGTGAATTATCTGTTGCTGCTATAAGGTTATTAAGGACCCAGATATATAATGAAGTCGTTTTATCAGACATTAATGCCTGAACTAATAATCTTGAACATCAGTGCTCATCAACTCCAACAAATAGACATAGTGCTAATCGATATTTGTTTGTTCTAGCTGTATTATCAATTAAAATTACATTATTGTATTTTAAATAAAGCTTTGCTGGTAGGACGATATCCAAAATAAATGATAAAAGCAGTTTTTAATACAGTATTCTGCTATAAACCATGTGGGATCCTCTTTCTTTAATGTTCTTAATATCTTTAAAAGGTTTGATACATCATTTTCGGGATCTTGTTCTGGATCTGTTATATCACCTTTTCGAAAATGCTAAATTATATTGGATAAATTTTTATCTAAAAAGAATTGATCTTTAAATTTCCTTCTAAAAGTTGTCTTATTAAATGCTGACTAATACCAGAAACTATATTTATATAAAATTTAATCTTATCAATTACATTTTGGAGAAATTGCCAGTATGTATTAATAAAGTGTACACTATCAGAACAAAGTGTATGACCAAAGTGGGTAAGATTTAGCTTAGTGATTGATGGAGCTGGTAAACTTAGTGGCCAACAAATATTGATAAAACAGGTGCAATTTGTCTTGATAGACTTTCTGTTATGCTGTTGTGAGGGTTCAATTGTCTTTTTTTTTGTTTGAGGGTTTCCTGCATGCTGACATTCAAATATATACTTATAAACCCCACCATTCTTGTTAAGCTTTTGATCCTGAATTCGCTATGCAAAACTTGTCTTTTGTCCATATGCTAATAAGACTAAATTTACATGATCCCAGTGTTTAAATTGTAACCCAACATATAAGTTTGATACTTGTTTAAAAGCTATGCTAGATATTAATAATGGTTTAAGTGGACGCCTCTTAGATATTTCATTACGGAAAATCGAAATTGCAAACATTTGCTGAAAACAAAGATCACTGGAAGTTTCTTCACTAGCAATCTTACTAACTTCATTTTGACTTGACTAAAAGACTGAGTAAGTATAAGATATATGAAATAATAAACACTACAATAAAAAATATTGATATTTACTTGCTAAGAAAAAAGATCATTTGAAGCTTCTTGACTATCAAGTTTATTATAATTTTCATTATCAATATTGCTTTGACTTATCTAAAAGGTTTAGGTAAATATAAACTGCTTATTATAGCATAGTTACTGAATATAATATGAAACTTATTGTTAGCCAACATAAAAATTCAACAACTTGTAACCAGAATTAATAATAATTTGTAATTTGCAACATTTCGTAATAGATGTTTCGTAATGGGTAACATTTTATAATGGGCAATGATTCGTAATAGGCAATATTTCATAGTGCACAACATTTTGTAGTGGACAACCTAGTCTTGTGGTAGGCAACCTCTTGCAGAAACAACGATTTGTAGTAGATAACTTCTTGCAATGGTAATGTCTTGCGATGAAAAACATCTTTCGGCTATGAATTTCTTACTGCTAGTAATTTGTGGTGAGTAGTAATTTGTAGTAGGCAACTCTGTAATATCTTAGTTTGATTAAAAGAGAGAAAGTAAATACTTTAATTAAAGTGAATATAAGGGTAACAGAAAAACTAGTAAATTTGTCGCAAGGTTAAAGAAAAGAACCTGCTTAGTTGCAGATACCAGAGGAAAATCTCTTTCAAGCTATCTGGATTGGTAGTTTGAGATAGTTGGAGATATAGTTAATAGTCTATAAAGTAGATACTGGGGTTTGGATGAACTCTACAAGAGGTAATAGGTAACAGTAGTGGCCTCAGCTCGCAAGTACTTGTCCTCAGACTTGGCATAAGTTACTGAATCTAGATGAATCCAAATTGTGGATTCAGATCACTCTAGTATTGATCCTTTGAGGATAAAGTAGTTCTAAAGAAATAGATAAAGCATCCAGGACTTCTTGAATATTCTGATGATACAGGTTTAGTTACATTACAGAGGGGTTAAATAGATAATACTTGTAGTTGGGTTACAGGTACGGTATCTAGTATTGAACCTATATAATGTATAGACGAACTACTTAAATTAGACACCAAAAGTGTACATATAGCTAGTATATACTCTCTAATATAGAGGTTCTCTAGAAAACCTTTTGCTATATATATCTGAATAAAAATCCTAGCTCCCAAGAGAGTAGACATTAAAAAAAAAAAAAAAAAAACTAACATTTTGATATATAATATAGAAAAATTTTATTTTCACCTAGGTTAAAGTTATCCAATATATAATTTTTATTATACTATATAATATAAATTTATATAATATTATAAAATTTATCTACCTTAACCTCTAACTAACTAATCTATAGAATTTTTAGTTGGCTATAGTAGTTTGTATTATATAATATAATAGAAATTATATATTGGGTGACTTTAATCTAAGTGAAAATAGAATTTCTCTATAATATATTACAAACAAGTTCAAACTTATTAAATAACAATCAAACCTTTTTTCTTTTCTCTTGCTATTTACTCTAAATTATACTAAGTAAATCTTAGTTTTCATTTAAACAAATTTGTTCTACTTATCAAGATGAATATTTTGATATATAATATACTACAAATAGACTAAAATTGATGATTTTATATCAAGAAAACTTCAAACTTCTTTGCCAGAAAACACACTTCTAGTTCTAAAAATTCACTAGCAATTTTCTGAAATCCTATTGGCTTGCCTTGAAAATTTTACTTTTGTGTACCTATTAAAATTTTCTAGAACTTAACAAATTCCAAAAATTTGTTTACTAAACTTGAAAACTTACTGGATATTTCTAGAAAGCTTATTGATCTTTCTAAAATTTCACTATATATATACTTCAAAACTTACTATTCTAGTTAGAAAAAAATTATATTACTCATTTATTAGATTCTACCTTTTATTTTACAATATGTCTCAACCAAATATATCTCAACACCAATTTTCTTATCATCAGCTTACTATCTACTAGTTCTCTGACAGTGATTCCCCTAATACGAATTTGGACCAACCTCTTAATTAGTTTAAACATTTCCTAGTTCCAACAACAAGTGGTCTTTTTTTATTTACTTAGCTAACAATTTAAATAATTAATTTTTTAAGTCCTTTCCTTAAAAATTTTTATCTGGGTTCAATTATTTAGCCAAAAACAGACAATAAACTAGCTCTTAAAAATAACTTTGATCTTCTACTTTATACAATGGCCTTTTAAAAACCTAAATTTATTACAAACTTTATTTGAAACCAAAATTCTCAAGTTACCGAACCTATAGATATTCCCCTTGAAATTATTCTTAAAACTCTTAAAAGATCTCTTGTAGCAATTATTACTATTCTTTTTGAATACTTCAACTATCCAAAAATATTTAACTTTTATCTTTTTATTCCTTTTTATTCTATCAAAAATATTTTCAAATTATTATTTACTTGGCCAGATTTCATTGTTTTTTTACTAATCAATATTATACTATTGACTACCAAAAATTTTTTCAAGATCTAAAACTTAAATCAATTTATTTATAAACTTTTTTTTATATTAACCAAATCTAAGATACAGATTTAAATATACTTATATTACAAATTTACAATACTTCTAAATTTTATATTAATCTTTCTATTAACATACTTATACAAAAATTTTTAACAACTTACTGTATTCTTTCTTTTTCTCTATTTTTAACTAAATTTAATAAGTGGTTTCAAAAATTTTTGAACATTACAAAAAACAATTTAACACTATTAATAAACAAAAGTTTATAATTATATCAAATCCTAAATAGTAATAACAATGAACAATGAATACAGAAAACTTGTTTCTAAAGAAATCTACTCCTTGACCATTTTATCTATTCAAAATAGTACAAATACTGCTATTAAAACCATATTACACTATATATATATATATATAAACTCTACCAAATACACAATCCTTTTACCAAATACTATACACAATCTTTGCAATTTAACTACTCACTTTTTTAAACTTTCTTTTCAAATCTTACCTGCTTCTAAATATATTTATCCAACTATTGATAACTCTATCTTTTCATCCAACCAATCTCATGCTGCTATATTTTTTACTGCTTTTTCTTTTAAAGATTTCTATGAGCTTGCCAACTAAGTAGAACAAAAATTCATTAAACTTAACCAAAAACTTATTGAATCTAATAAGTCAAAACTTTCTGAACCAAATTCTAAAACTCAAAGCTCTAAACAGATTTTTTTTTTCTATAGTTATTTTAAAGCATACTTAAAGATGGCTACAACTAATGATCAAATTACTAATCTTAATCTTAAGGAAGCACTCAACAAATTATCTTTAACAACTACAGATCACAAATCTTAGCCAGAATTATTGCCTACTACAATATTATCCAAATTTCTAAACCAACTATTACAAACTTTAAAAGAAATCTCAAGAAATTATATCTTGACCAAGCAAAACAATATATAATCAAAAGGTTTAAGATCACTGTTTCTAATATATCATACACAAACTTTATCTACAAATTCTAATATTTAACAATAACAACATTTACAACAACAACAACAACAACA